TGGATGTGGTGGCCTACACCTTTAATCCCAGCACTCGGAGTCAGAGGCAGGTAGATTTCTGGGTGATCAAGGCCAGCCTAGTCTACATAGTGAGTTTCAGACTAGCTGGGGCTACAGGAAAATCCTATGTCAAAAAATGATTATGAATTTAATGATTTTAAATGTGCACACTACTCTAGATTACTGGAGTATGTAATATGTAATAACCACAGATGGAAGAGAGAAACAGGAGAATTAGTGGTCAATGTAGCTATGAAGGAAAGACTAAGAAATACACATAGCTGACTTTGGAGATGGGTAGGAGTAAGGATATTAGGACTATGGGCAGTGTATATTAGAAAAGACTGATTAAAAACTCTTTCCTAGGGCCTCTAGAAGATATGTAGGCATAACCACTCTGCTTATAGTCCCATAACATCAGATTTAAAACACACTGTTACACAGTTACAGAAAACTAATCTGTGTGATAATGCCTGCATTTATTTGTTTATTTATTTACTTAGTCTCTGTCTGTCTTTCTGTCTCTGTCTCTCTGTCTCTCTCTGTCTCTGTCTCTCTCTGTCTCTCTCTCTCTTTCTCTGTCATCCCTGGGTGTGTGTGTGTGTATGTATGTGTGTGTGTGTGTGCGCGCGCGCTCGCACCTTGGCATACATGTGGTGTCAGAGAACAACTTCTAAAGCTGTTTCTCTCCTTCAACCATGCAGATCTCAAGGCTCTAACTGAGTTTGTCAATCACTCCCTAAGCCATCCACGTGGCTCTTAAATGGGTAACTCTTACATCAAGTACATTGTCCAGAGTGTTTCCTATTGCTTCAGATACAGCTTATATGGAAACTGACGAATGTGCTCTTTCTGTCTTCACTATTATAATTAATTAAAATGCCTAATAGTGCTGGCTAAGTATGTGACTCACTTAAGGATGTGAGTTTGAAGTTAAGCTTTCTGAGTTCAATTGGAATGTTGCTAGTTATGTTCACATGACCTTGAATTTACTTTGCTTCAGTTTTCCAAGTAAAAGAATATGCACACTACTTGTAGATTCTGAGAATTAAAGATGATAGCATAAATACCAAACATACAAACAGTAATGACACAGGGAACTCTGTCATCATTCTTATTTTAATTTTAAATATTATTTATACATCACCAGAGCCTTGAAAAGGAATTGCTTCTAAGTTCAGCTTGTTCTAATTCTCTTGTCAACAAGGAAAGCATCAGCAAATTTGTCAAATGCCTGGCTGAACTCCAGCCCTTTCTGTACTCTCTACTGTTCCTTGATCTATTAAGCTACTAACCCTATTAAAAGTAAAATTGAATTAGTCTGCCACGCCTTACTCTTGGTGAAACCTTATTGAAGCTGCATGTTTCTGCTCCGTTTTTCAATTGCTAATAAGTTGATTACAATCGGTCCAAGAATTTCATCTGAAATCAATGTCAATCTCATTTGACTAATGTTGGACCAGTATAATCTACCCTTTATGTTATCTCATTCCAAAAACTGTCTACTGTTTCTTATGAGATAGGGCATCATGAATGTCTCCAAGAGGCTCACAGTCATTCTTAGGGTTCCAGAATATCTCATGATGTGAGCTCCCTGGAAAGCATAACAATATTTTCCTATAATATCTAGATTTCCTTCCTCACTGAAACTGCCATTCGTACAGCAATGGTATTCCTTGGAATCCGTGAGCAGGCACATACAGTACCTTCTGCACCTGTCGGAATCCACAGATGTTCAATTTCCCATCTACTGAAGAGCAAAGTACAACTGTGCTTTATATCACAATTCATTTCTTAAACCAATGGTAAAGATATTTAAAAACTAATATGGGTGGGATAGAGTTTCATGTACCAACATTTTTAATATACTTCAGCTTCTAGGTGGATAAAAGGACTGACCTAATTTGTATTTCAGATAATAGAGCTGTCAATTTTCAGCTATTCCTAAATGTTAAGACCTCAGCTTTTTAAAAAAGAGTACAGCAGGCATTCGATGTGTCACTGAGCACCTTCAACCTTTCAGGAGGGAGAGGCCCAAGGAAATACTGAGAAGCCCTAACTTAGGCAAAGGTGTTAAGAAAAACACACAAGTAGATCAGGAGACGCGATCAAGCGTGTGTCAGATTTTTACTTTTCTCCGCTCCATAAAACAACTAATAATGAGATTCAGGAGACAGATAACACATCATAAGTAATAATAAAATTTAATTTACACTTTTTTATACAGAACACCTTGATGTTATGTTGTTTTCAACATCTCTAAAAATAATGTTGCGAGATATCTGAGCTGGTTAAAGGCTCTTGCTGCCAAGCCTGAACACCCAAGTCCAATTCCTAAGACCAACAAGGTAGAAGGAGAGAACCGACTTCTGTCAGTTGTCATATGACCTACACACACACACACACACACACACACACACACACATACACACACACCTACATGTACTAAATAAATATGTGCAATTAAAAATAATGCTCTTAGATCTCTTAGATGCACTTTGAAGTTTTGTATTTGTTTTCTTGTTCAAACAAGTGAAGCTCACTTGAGTTGGGAGTTAGGACATAATACTACCTCTAGGACACCTCTCCCTGTGAATGTCACATGGGAAAACCACACACTTACCACCTTGAAACTGTTAGTGCTAATACAACACAGTATTCCTTGGGCCATAAAACAACATTAGGTTAATAACGGTTGCTTATAGTTCCCTAACAACATATACTGCACATCCAGACAAATCTAAACTGATTGGAAATTTTATTTTATTTATATATAAAATGTCTTGCTTCTTAAATCTAGTTGCCCTTCCCTTAAATGTAGGAAGTAGATTTAAAACCTACGGTCAGATTTAAAATTTCATTGAACAATAACTTATTTGTTCTTATTAAATGTTCAAGAATCACTGAAAAAAATCAGTAAATGAATAATAGTAAAAGTTATATTCTTTAAATCATTTTTAAAAATTTTATATGTATGAGTGTTTTGTACAAATGTATGTATGTGTACCATGTATGTGCCTGGTGTCTATGGAGGCCAGAAAAGAGCACTGGATACCCTGGAAATGGAGTTATAGAATGGTTATAGCCACCATGTGGGTGCTGGAAACTGAACCCAGGCCCTCTGCAAGAGCAGCAAGTCCTCCTATCTGTGGAGCCATCTCTCTAGTCCTCTAAGAACCTGTATTTTTAACTAATCATAATGTTTACAAGTCAGGTAGTCTTTGATGCAGTGATTCCTCTATCTTCAGGAAACTTCAGTAACTTCGTCAAGATTTTACTAGAAGTTAGTGATGGTGTTAAAAATGTAATTTGCAAAAAAAAAAAAAAAAAAAAAAAAATCCCCTGACTCCTTCTATGTCTCCTCTACCTTAACATGGTGCTTGCTTGTGTGACTCCACAGTAGTGAAGGAAGGGTGTGTTTTAAAGAAATTAGAAAATGAAGAAATCAAAGAAAATGGGACATTGATAATCTCAACAGTCCTTGAAGTCTGCTTATCTGCCACAGAGCAGGCAATTCACTGGGAAGCAAGGAAACCTTAATATGCTCATCAAAGCCCTCTTTACAATTACAGAGATATTAAGAAAGTATGCAGCAGGGAAGGTGAATCCTAAGTAGCTTAAAGATTGCATTTAGATATGCAGATAAGACCAATAATACTTAAGGCTACCACAGAGCTTTTATTCCTGGAGGTTCTCAGTATTTAACTAAAGGTCAAAAGATATAAACCTCCTGATACCTGCAAAATTGAGCTGGCAATGCTATTCTAATAACAGTTTATCCCTTTCTTCTCTATTTTCTTGTAGTGGAGACAAGTCATTATCTATCTGAGTCAATTGTAGCACAAATTCACTTTTGAAATTAGAAGGAGCCTTTCAATTTGCAGCAAAAGAAAATGTCTTAGTGATCAGTTTGCATGTTTATTGTGTATGATTAAATACATGTAAAATTAAACACAGAAGAGAAAATTTCCATGTGCCCGATGGAAACATTAAAATTACAGTAACACCGGAATTGTGTACAAAAATTAGGGAAACCTTATAAGAAAAAAATTTTTTTAATTAGATTCTGGGTAGGGGAGATGGCTGGTCAGTTAAGAGCGCTTGCTGTACAAAGATGTAGACCAGATTCCTGATCTTAGCACCCAAGTAAAAGTGAGGTATGGTCCTGGATAAACTTGAATCGGCAGTTCAGAGGTGGGTCCCTGGGTCCTGTGGTGTTCTGACATGCTGAAACCAGTGGGAGGCTCAGGTTCAGTTAAGAGAGATAGAAGAGGCCACCCAACATTCCCCTCTGGCCTCTGCTTGTACCTGAGTACCTATATGTGTGTAAATCACACACACATACACACACACAAACACAAAATGTAAAACAATAAAGAGAAAGAAAAGTAGATGCTGACAACATAAAAGAGGCTTATTATCTCATAAATGCAGGTTACCTCCCAACTTTTACCAGCTAAATTTATATCTGTCTTTGCAATATAGGACAATTCAAAATGGTTGAGTCAAAGTAAGAAAAATAGGAATAGAGAAACAGCTCAATCCTAAAATGATTTCTGCATCTGCTTGAGGACCTGAGTTTGGAGCCCATCACTCATGTCAAAAAGCCAAGCCTGGCAGTACAAGCCTGGGATTCCAGAGCTGGGGAGTCAGAGACATGCAGATCCCTGCGGCCAGCTGACCAGCTCTAGCTCCAGTGAAGTGAGAACACTTGTCTCAAAAAGTAGGGTGGAGGGCAACTGATGAAGTGACCTGATTTCAGCATGTGGCTTCTGCTCATAGTCCTGCACAAGGCTACACATACACGCATCACACACATAAAAGAATAATGAAACTAAACTAAAGAAATTGTATAAATAATACATCGACACCTATAACAATCAAGATCTTTCCATTAAATATAGATGACACTTCCACAGACAGATCAATAGTTACAAGATAGAGCAGTAGGTAGATAAAAAAGTTAGGTAGATGTCTTATTTTTTAATTTAATTTTTATCGAAGGGGATGGTGGAAACAGTCCTTCCACTCCCACAAGTTACGCAATTGACTTTCCCAGATTTGGATGAATTGCAGGGTTTGGCATATCCAGAGAGCAGTGCATATGCCTCAGCCTGGGAAAACCACCTTTCGGGTAATGTTATCTCCTCCATCACATTAAAATACATCTATAATTTTTTAAATTATTTATTTAATAGCCACATACTTAGAAGAATTTCATTACAACAGCATTGACATATTCAATAACAATTTCCAAAGCTAAGATGCATCTCTTTCAAAATTGGCTGTAAATTTTTAGGTTTACAGTTGAATTATTACAGTTATACAATATTGTACTCAGTATAAACCCTATAAGACATGAAATTAAATGAGGTTTTAAACTTTAAAAAAGATCTCCACTTCACTATTAAAATACACATTTTCATACAGAAAAAAAATCATTTTTAATGCAATTGACATTAACATGTTTGTACATGCGTTTGTAATCTCAATATATCTTATTATTACTAGTCACAGTCAGTTACTTTCTGAGCTCCTTGGCATCTGAGCATGGATATAAAGTCATCAGGTATATTTCAATGGTAATGTTTCTCACATCTACTAATCATTAAGGACAAATTTTTATGCTTTGAAGAATTATTTCTTAATCATTTTTTAAAATTTTTTAATAACTACATGATTACAAGAAGCATTTTATTACAGCTTTAACATATTCAGTAACACACTCCAGAGCAAGAGTACACCTCTTTCAAAAGTGGCTATAAAACTTTTAGGTTCACTTT